CATCAGGGCTGCTCACTCGTTACCCATCAAATCAGAAGATGGATTTCAAAGTTTAGTGACTTAGCAGTCGGATACTAATGCACTTCTCTCTCCGACAGGTTTTTGGGGACGTGTTCCTCCTGCTCTGAGATCAATGCCTGATGTAATACAGAGCAGTGTCAGCAGAAAAGCAGAGCAGAGTAAACAAGAGGGCAGGGTGTGTTTGAGCAGTAAACTCGGGACAGGGAGGCCAAGCTCGTACTCAGCTGAGGCCTACAGATTGACACCCTCCCCCTCCCGAAAGAAGTGTGCTGGACAACAAGGAACAAACTCCTAGCCTGACACCAGCGTGGTAAGAAGTGCTGGAGGATACAAACCCCACCGCGCGGCTCAGAGGCGCACGTTTACGCAAACCACGGTCAGAGGCTTTAAAAGGTGCACACATGAACTTCAACCGGCCTTACACGAGCAATGAAAGGACAACTGTGTCGTGTTGACACTGCAGTCTGTGAGGGCTTGGGAAGAATCCTTAAACTGTGTAATAAAACACGTCCCGGTCCACAGTGCGCTCCTTCCGCGCTGCTCTGCACGCATTGCCACGTTTCTCCTCTCGTGCAAAGCCCCAAACACACCAGTGTGTGTGTGTGTGTGTGCAGGAAAGCGTGCATGTGTGCGTGTTTGTGTGCAAATGTGCTTCTCTTACTCCTGCACTGCAGCTCCACCATGGCCTGGTACCACTCGTCCTGGTCCGCCTCGTTCTCCGCGGCCACGGCGAAGCTCTCTGCCCGGGTGTACAGCACGATCATATGCTTGTTTTTGGAGTCGGCCCGCTTGTTAATGTTGAAGCAGGTCTCCAGCGCTACCACTTTCTTCGGGACGGGGGCCTTGCCCCGGAATTTCTTCTCGCTCTCGTAGTACTCCAGGCGGGCCGGACCGCGCTCCGAGGCGGCGCGGAGCACGAAGTACCGCCGGTGCATGGACTTGTGCTTGCGGAGGTATCCGCTCTTCCGCACGTCCTCGTGGCTGTGCTGCTCGCCCGCTTGGCTCTCCATGACACCCTCCGATCTCTCTCCTCCTCTCTCTCTTTACTTTAAACCCCCACGTGAAAAACCAGCGCGACTTCTTCTCGTTTTCCTCGTCGGTGTTTGTGCGAGTTCAGCGATCTGATCCAAACATCCCCCGGCTCCTCTCCTCTGCCTCTCTCCCCCACACCGGCGCTGGCATGTGAGAGGAGAGTCAGAGGTCGGTTTGGGGTTGCTGCAACTGCGAGTCCCGGAGCTTAAATCTGAACCCGTGTTTGTTTATGACCGCCGGGTCGCTTCTTTCTCTGGAGGAGGAGGGGGTCGATTTTTGCCCAGCGCACGGAGCAAAACAAGTTCTTTCAGGCGCACACAGAGGAGCACATGCGGCGGAGCTCCCCCTGCTCTCCACTACTACTACTACTACTATTACTACTGCTGCTGCTGTGAGTGTTTCCAAGCGCCGTCCGGTAGGTTTAATCCCAGTTACTGCACATCGCAGTGCGCGGAGCCCATCCTGCTGCACGCGGTCTCTGTGCGTGTCCCCCCACCCCTGCCTCGCTCGGCTCTGCTGTGGTTTCTCTGGCGCGGAGCAGCTACCGTGGAGCAGGACTGTCACTCAGCGCTCTGCTGGTACTTTTGATCGCGATGCGTTCAAGGACTTCATCACAGCTCTGATAGCAGAGCTCCACCTCTTCCCCCTCTTACACACCACCACCAAGCCCCCTAAGTGAGCTAGAGCCCGATTTAAGGACAGCCCGTTTCGTTAATAAAGACTGGAGACAGTTGTTGAATAAAAATAAATAAAAACAGTAAGTTATAAACTGATTTTCCTGTCACTGAGTGAAATAAGTATTTGATTCCCTGTAATTCAGCCAGTATCTTGGCTAGATTGGCTGTGTGCCCATGTGGCACAAAGATTACAGATACTACTGATCTCGCTTTGTGAAGTGTATAAAGTGCACCTGTCCAGAGACTCAACCTCTCCACCACTGTGGGACTCTCTCGGGACAGACCAAAGAGCTGTCAAAGGACATCAGGGGCAAGACTGTAGACCTGCAAGACTATCAGGTAACAGTTGCTCCAAGCAGTAAGAAGAACTAACTAACCTAAATTAAATAATAAAATATATTACAAATTTATCAAATATAACCAAATAGTTCTAATAGA